TTTTTTTTTTTTTTTTTTTGGCATACCCTCCATGTCGTTATATTCCAGGATGGAGACATAGGCGCCCATATCTTCAATCCTGTTAACCTTGACCATGATCAAGTCATCAACTTCGGGAAACTTCTTCTCATAAAAACGGCAGTCGCCTAAATCGGCTTTACTCCTCAGTAGGTCACCCATCTTGACTCCGGTTGCGAACAAAAGGGCGTTCCAATTTTGAAGGAGGGTTGCAAAGTGCTAATCGATGCGCTAGTATTTATTATTCCACTTGCTATGAATGCCTTTATACACAAAATGGCGAAAAAGATTATTCGCTGAGAGGGGAAAAAATAAATGAGCATATTTAATGGAATGTATATTATTCGAAATTTACTTATAGGCGCTTCTCCCCGTGTTCCTCAAGCGAGGGGTATTTTGTGTTTCCAACAAGTGGTATACCTGTAATGCTGCAGATGATGCGCGGGGGGGAATAACCTCCAACTATGCGAAGTGGAAAAGAGCTCGAAAAGAAAAGGAATAAGAAAATGCTTATTGCTCTTTTTTTTTTTTTTTTTTTTTTTTTTTTTTTTTTTTTTTTTATTGCTCTTTTTTTTTTTTTTTTTTTTTTTTTTTTTTTTTTCTTTAATGTTGTGGGGAGGTACATAAACAGTGGGAAAAAAAAAACTGGGGGAGAAAAAAAAAAAAAAAAAAAACTGTATGCTTTGTTACATACGTACATTGGATGCAGCAGAACGTAAGTTTGCCAGAGCAGATTTTTATTCTTCATTCTACTGGATCATTTTTTTTTCCTTTCCGTCAGCCTTCACTCGTCGATGGAAATATTTTGCGAAGGGTGCTTTGTACATGTATATAATATAATGACACTTGTTAATATTGTGGTGACTCCCCCGTTGCAGCAACATGTGGTAACTGTGCTGCGGTTTTACGCGGTATGGTGATTAACCCACGGGGGCTAGGCCTTTGAAAACAAAAATCCGTTTCCACCTGTATAGTGCATAAAAACGGCATTATCGCTCGACATAGGGGCAACAACCACCGTTAAGCCAAATTTAAAAATACGGAAAAAAGAATCAAAAATGTGATACATGGGGCATATGTACGTAAACATTATATACGCATATATTTGTACGCAATAATGTTACAAAGTATTCACGTGTAAAAGAAATAGGGCATTGCTAACATTATAAGTATGCACTTTCCGCGTTGTGCATCCTGCTTCTGCCCCTCTTTCCACCATTACAACTGCACAATATGATTCACATTTTATGCTTACTACCAGAACAGTGTATTAAATCAAACTTGAAAAGGGAGGAACCGAACTCCTTCACAACTGTTACAGATTCGTCGAAAATTGGATGGAAAAGGATAAGGCCATCAGCTGAACAGGGGGTCAGCGACGTCACATGTCCTTATTGAACTTCGCGCCAGACTTATTGAACGTCGTGCCAGATGTGTATGGCATGAAATATTTGGTTGCACGTACATACGTGTGATGGAATGTATGGACGCGCGCTCACGTTAAATAGAGCACTGAAGAACGGCAGTGAAAAGTCTCGACAAATGAGTTGACAGGGGGAGGAAAAAAAAAAAAAAAAAAAGGCAAGTAGCCATGTGCACGTAAAATTTGACGTCAAAGTTGCCAAAAGGTACTGCTGCCTTTGTTTGAAAAGTGCACCACGGGGAAGGAAACGTCGTTTGTGTCCCTCCTCCGGGGGAGAAAGTAAACATGCAGACGTACATATATATGTGCATGCCACAACGCGCAACGAAAAAGAACTTGACAAAGGTAGCACAAACGCAAGAGACAAGAGGGCAAATAATTCTTTTACATAATTGACAAAAGGGGGTAGAGCCGAAATGGGAAGCGGCTTTATGGACACAAAAAAAAAAAAAAAAAGCAAACAAAAAAACAAACACAATTGTGTGTGTTGATGTTCATGCTCCTGTGTGCATATATTATGTTGGGGCTCACCCGGAGGGACGAACCAGAACGAGCTCCATTACTAAAAAAAAAACACGAGTAGGTCTCCTGTCCACTCGGTAAAGCGGAGTTATAAATTCCCAATAAAAAAACAAAGTAATATATCCTCGAAAAAAGAATTGATGCATGCAGAATTTAATGAAATATTATGCGATGTAACTAGTTTGCTAGATAAGTGTTCACTTCTGCTTATCCAGTGTTTGAAAAAGTTGTATGCACTGAGGGATGTTTTTTTTCCATGGGTATTTTCTATGAACGCACTTCTAATTGGACAGACTTCATTTTTTGCGTTCTTCTGAATCGTGTGTGCTATTCTCTGGAGGATCACAAAGGGGTAGTACTTCTCTTCCGTATGGACTCTTCCAGCTGATGGTGAATTACGCTTGTCAATCCATTTTAGCGCTATGTTTATATATCTCTTTTTGTGATGAAGGGGAGTTTTGCCATTGGGGGGTATTGTACCATGTAAACGAAAAACATTTCCACGAGCAGCGTTAAAGTGGCCACACTTAGCTGCGCTCCTATGTGGTACCTTTGCATAAATATGCTTGTGCTTATTCCTCACCGTTTGGCCCTGTAACATATTGTTGTGGGTAAACACCACCTGGTCCGCTTTTGAAATAACGGAGCGAATGTACTTATTGTATTTGTGATCGTAGTGGTGTCTACACTTAGGTACAAAAAGGAAATTATCCTCCTTGTCAGATAGAACGATATTCCAAAAGGAGAAATAATTGGGGAAGTTACAATATTGTGTAAATAAATTTACTACGTTGCTCGAATCGTTGGTAGAAATTTTTCCTTTGTTAAAAAGGATGTTTTTGTGGGGGTAGCCCTTGTGGTAATACTGCTGGAAAATCCTTTTTATCACCTTTATGTTATTTTCAAAAAAGTAGACAAAATGGCAGTCGGTGCCAAAGAAGGGCAGGTAACTCATCAGGCTCACTTTTGTGCTGGATCTTTTGTAGATCCCCTGCATGATTTTGAGGTATTCAAAATTGAGGCTGAGCAGATCCTTCACTTTGTCAAACGTGCCGTTTGAGCATATAGGTTCCTTCTTCGCAGTTTCGTCCTTCCATGATGCGTCTTTCTCAGATTCATCCTTCCATGACAGGCCCTTCTCAGCTTCATCTATCCACGTAACCTTTACCTTGCAAGCACTGCCTCCCCTTTCGACCCTTCCCCCCACACCACATCCCTTCCTTTTATTCCTTTTTGGGGGGCGCAAAAAGTAGGAGCTGCTCGATTTTTCTGGAAACGTATACGCAGACAGGTCACCCCCCTGACCTCCTCCCACCCCTATGACTACAACTTTGGTATCTCTCTCAGGATTGGCAACATAATCGAAGAATTCCAAATCGCAAATTGATTTCTTCTGTGCTTTTCTTGCTGATGCTAGTGTGCCAAAGTAATGGTCTTCCCAGTACTTACAAAAGAATTGATAAAATGGATAGAAGGAATGATACACATCTGAGAGGAAATATAAATAATTGACACTTCGATCAATGTGTAAATTTTGGACCAGGAGAAAATAGTCGAAATTGTTTTGCACTTGTTTCACCAGTTGGTATTTCACAAAGGGGTTCAACTTTTTGAGGGCATATTTGATTAGCAGTTGATTCAGCTGATTTATGTGATTCAGGTCGCTGACCAGTATGTTCTCCTTCTTCTCTCTACTTTTGTAGTAAAGGGTATAAATGTTGTTTTGCGTACGTTCGTTGTATATATTGTTTATGATGATTGGTGCGGGTGACATCGCAGAGGTGGTGATTAAGTCGTTTTTACTACCCTCTTCATTGTCCCCTGCCAAGTCTGGGCTATTCACATGGCTATGGAAGGTGTGTAGAATTTTATTATGTTCCTCTAAATGCACTGACCAAATTTTTTTATCCCACTGGGCGGACCACTTCCTCTCGTAATAATTTACAATAACAGCATAGATTAAGGGAAGGAACTGCACCATTTTATTTTTCCTCTCTTTATTAAACTTTTCAATTTCGATAAATTGCTTACTAAACTCCTCATTGAAGAGTAGAAAGAGCTTCGCAAATTTTCCCTCTGCTACCAAGTGATCGTCGTGGTAGGTCTCTTCCGAAGAGGATCTCTCTCCGTCCAATTTTATGTAATACTTTAGCATTAGTAGCTCGCTTATATTTTTATGTGTATAATTCCCCTTTGTTTGAAATAGTAACATTGTGTCGTCTGAAAATGTCAAGGGGATTTTCTCATAGTACTTTAGCACTTCCAGTAAAAAATTGGCTATGGTGCTTTGGCTATCTTTATACCTCATCAGTGTGTTCCTAAGGATGTTTTTCTTTTCGGTGATCTCCAGGAGGGATCCTTTTTGGTTCATCACGAGGGTGTTCTCTTTGCTCATAGGATGAAGTTGCTCCAACCAGACAGCATTGCTAAAGATATGTGTTCCATTTGGCTGTTTACTTCCTCGAAGGTTTGTAGTATCCCTATGGGAAGCGCCTGTACATGTGTCGATATTTCTGGTGAATTTCTCAGGGGGGACGACATGCATACCCATTTTTTCTCCCCCTTCACACAGGCCGCGAAGTGTCTCTGCCACGAACAAGTGCTTATAATCTAGCGGCACGCTGTTATATTCTCGTCTTTTAACGAAGAGGATTCCCCGTTTTATTATTTTTCTCACAATATTGTTCTTGTCGCATGGTTGTCCAGGTGTTATGCGCGGTCCGTTCTTCAGTTCGCATATGTGTGGATCTGTATGTGGGTCCCTCCCCACGGTGCCTCGCGAGAGGCTCCCTTTCGTCGTCTTTGCATCGAAGCAGGAAAAGCTCAAGTGGTAATATTCATTATTCACGATGGAAATGTTTACAATGTCCAAGTGTGGGATAGCACTGGGGGAGAGGATTACCTTTCTGTTAAGACTTGTGTAATTGGTTTTGTGTAAATAGAAGTTTCTGTTAAGTGCGTTTCTTTGGTTTTTATTGGTCACTTGTTTGTGACTGTCTCGAGTTGTCTTCAAATGATAAGTGCTCACCTTCTCCGTGTAAATTAACTGGATGGGGAGGCTAACAAATTGGTTTGACGTGACATCGTATATTTTTAAAAAGCGTTTGTCAATTAGAAGAACGTACATAAATTCGATCAGATGGATGATAAAATGGGATGACAAATCATAGATATGAAAGAAGCTAAACAGAATTAAGGTGAGTGTACAGGTGGACACATCTGTGTGTCTTTTTAACACATATTTTCCACACCCTAGGTTTATATACCCTAAGTAGTAGTAGTACAAATTATTCGTGTTTTTATCTCTGATGTTCACCAGATTGTTTATTTTGTTTTTTATTCTTTTATTCAATGTTTTGTCGCAACTTCCGACAAAGACAAGGGAAAGACACTGATAAATTAAATTGACAATATCGTTCACATCTTCTTCTTTTATTTTGTATAAATGGTTCTGTTCATTTTGATACTTTTGTCCTAACAATCGACTGGTTATGTAATTTTCATCCTCCACAGGAGAGTACCAATTGTGCAAACATTTCTTAATTTTCTTTATCTTTTTAACATACTTTAAAATTAATTTGTATATGTGAGAGTACACTGAGTTTTTTTTACTGCTGGACATGGCCACCATGATGTTTGTCGAGTCTGCGCATTGTCTTTGCATCACTTCTTTGTGCGTTCCTCCATCCATTTCGTTCCTTTTTCTGGGGTGCGATGAATCGATCTTCTTTTTTGTGTCCTCCGAATCGCTGGAGCAGTCGTCATACTCCAGATGCTCAATGAGGTCATGAAGGTGGTTGTTGATTTGGTCGTCTATGTCTTCCTGCCTTTCTTCTCCTCCGTAGCTATGGCGGGGATGAGTATAGCGGCTATCCTCATCGTGATCATCATCATCTTCTCCACTATCGCTCCGTAGCTGCCCACTTATCGAGTCGCTAACCCTAACATCGATTCCCCTGCTGCTTAAACTTCCCCCTCCCATCTGATTAACCATCGCACTTGTGGACGCACCTCCCTGGGACTTCTTCGCATTCGTCTCGCGCAAAACTTCGTGTACATCGGGAAGGAGGTCCTGCACAAGATTCTCATTCGTAACCTTATCCTTAATCTTTTGGACCAAATAGTTTACCTTTTTGTATAGCTTCTCCAATTTCTTTTTGGCATAAATTCCTTTATTAATATTTTCAAAGTAGGAGATATATTCGAAGCATATTTTCTTGAAATGCTCGTGGTGTGTCGAAAGGTATTTTATGCTGAGCACTTGAAGCACCCCCATGATGATGTAGTACCTGAGCATTTCGCAGTTATAGACGAAGGTGTAATCTTTTAACAAATTGTGTTCGTGATTACGCCTCTGTGCGTTGGTCTGTTGGTCGCTACTTGTGTCTTCGACATATGCACTTGGGCAATCGACGCGGTCATTGCTTCCAGCGCGGGTTCCTCTTTCATGTACACCGTCTACGCCGCTACCTCGTCCGCCGTGGAAATAATACTTCAGGGCAGCGCCTCCCGGGGATAGCTTATCCCTGTAGCAATGTACAAAGCTCTGCTTGGACAGACGAAAATAGCGTCCACCCTCGTACATTCTGTTCATCTCATTACGTACAAAATCATGGCCCAAATTTAGGTGCCCATTTAGAAGGATGAATGTTTTCTCCAGTTCTTTATCCTTGAAGGTTCCATTTTTGTTAATCAAGTGCATATAGGGTAGCTTACTCTTCTTCTTTCTGCTCCAATCGTTAGGAAGAATCCTCAAGAAAGGAGGAATATTCGACAGAATATATTCATGAGATAACTCCACAAAATCGAAGATGATCATATTTCGCGCAAACGATTTTACCATAATTTCGTACTGATTAAAATAGTATATGTGGTCCATTATGGAGGGCATAAAAATCATATTAAAGGCATGAATATTGTTGCTTCTGAAGAAGGATAATGAAACTGCTACGGCGGATGAGATGATCATGTGCATTATGTCGTAAGACATATCATCTGCATGTAAACTCTTCATGGAGAATGTTTTTATGAAATCATTTTTGTGCATTTTATATGGTACATTTGCATTTATAAAATATAGTAAGGAAATTATTATAGTGTGGAAAAGGCTGCCTTTTTTATAATTGATACTTCCTATGGACCAGAAAATACACAATAAATTTAACTTGCTCAAATTTCTTTTTTGTAATAGCTTAAAGATGTATCTTGTCAAACATTTGTTGTTGCTATTCATGTGAAGGTATCCTAGACAAAGGAAGTTCGTACTGAGCACTAGGTTGTCTAAAGATTTTTTTTTCTTTTTTCTACTGTTGCTTTTCATTTTTTGCCATTTGTAGTCTCCACTTTTGTTTTTCTTTTTCTCTTGAGAATTTTCGGAGCAAATCGAATTGGATATTGGGGAGTTCATAAGGGAGTACACTTCGTCTATGTTATCTGGTTGGTTTTCTGGGTTACCATCTAGCGGATCTCTAAAACCGCAATCATCTGGGTGGTCATTTTTTTCGTCCTGTATGTTTTGTTCCTCGTCATCGTTTGGGTCCTCCTCCTCCACGTTGTCGTCTTTACCCCCTCGGTCACGTATGTACTGACGCATATATTCATTTCGGTCCTCCCATTCCTCGCTGAACTTATCACTGTATGGATCCACGTCGGCACCCTTTTTTGGTCGATATATATAATGCGGTGTTCCCTCCTGTGCGGTGTCAAGTCCCTCATTGAGGTGTTCCATTCTCTCGCACTGTCCATCCGTAAGGTCGTAATGGGGGGGATGGTACGTCTTGTCGTAGTCCAATTTGAATGCCTTATCGGAATTGTCCTGTTTAGCATGCCCATCGTAATGCTCCTTGCCACCCCAATCATAGTCCTCCTTTGAACTTTCCTCGTGATGGTCCTGCTTAGCACCTGCATCCCCGTTCTGCGGAGTGTCCGCCCGAATTAGCATACCCGGGTCGGCATTAGAATCCGCATTTGGGTAGTAACTGACGTCGGTGCTTCCCCTTGTGAGGTTGTAAATTCCCTCCGCCCCGTCCCCCTCGCGGTGGCTCGGAAAGCTGGTGGATCCAGCCAAGGGGTTCCCTATCCCACTTCCTATATTTCGATCAAGGGTGTTGCACGAAAGGGACGACGCATCGTCACTGGTCATCGGAACGGTTGAAGTTTCTTCATCGGATAATTCGTTGTCATATGCATAGAGCAGGTTACAATATTGGGAGTCGTCCCCTGCGCAGGCTTGTCTAGACTCTGTTTCATTTTGCAGGCATCCTTCTTTTTTCATATGTTCAATTTTCGTGCCCACCTTGTCCGTCTTGTTAATTTTTTTTTTTTTATAAAAAACAAATTTGTAGTTGTCGTCGCAGTGCTCATGTTCGTTAAAACATTGAAAAAGTAAACTGTCCAAGTTGAGTTTCCTCTTGCCGTCATATAATTCTTTGAACAGAGCGCTTAGACATATGGATGTCAGCTCTCGATTCTTCGAAGATATCAACGAAAGAGATATGCCCAAAATGGAACAAATATAGAGGCACCTATTTTTGTATTTCAAAATGTACTGTAAAAATAGAGAAATTTTTAAACTCTTAAAAAATTGTAATAATCCTAATCCGTATATTAATCCAGCGAGAAAGTACATCCCACAATATTTATAATTCTTATTCAAAAATTTAAACAAATAATTCTCATGGTTTATAATGTTTACTAGGACAGTGTTTTTCTTCTTGTGCATGTCGTCATATTTTTTGTACAAAATGGTCTGGCATAGAGAGCATTGCAATTTGAACGCATTTCTGATTTTTCCATTCACAAAATTATTGTATTTAATGCACTTGGCTTTGTCAAATGTGAAATCAAAGTAATCAATTTTTTTATTTAATTTCTTTTTATTTTTAAAATCGTTTACGTCGTATAGGTTTGCATATTCCTCCATTGGTGTGTTGTTGTAGCTGGACATGGCGTCGTTCACGTGGTGGCTTCTTTCTCTCTGGATTACACTGGACACTGCACTGTTTCGCACACTCCTACTGGAGTTTATGGACGGCCGGTTTGGCGCTGGTCGCTCTCCTGGGCGGTCATCTTCACCGCCATAGTTACCTCGATCAACTCCCCCACCGGTGCTATGCCTTGCAGCTTGTCCATTTAAATTGGAGGCGACTCCGTTGAGCACTGGCAGCGATCCGTTGCTTTCCCTCCTGGGAAGGCTATTCATCATGAAGCTGTTTCTTCTGTCATAGTACAGAAACGATATTTGGCTGTCCCTCCTGGGTTCCGTGTCATTAATGGACATGTTGCAGCTGTATCTGCGATTTATGTTATCGAAAGAAATGTCGTTCATTTTTTCCTGGCCCGTGGTCTCGTTAGCAGCTTTGTTGGGTGTGTATAAAAAATTACTCGAATAGAACTCATCATTAGAGGAGTCATTCGCATTGGGGTTGTAACTAGTATTGTAAATCTTGTTGGAGTTGGTATTTGCTCTCCTAATTGGGTCATCTCCTGGAGCGTCGCTTCGACCACCGTGTTCGTGATCCCCATTCTGGCGTCCATTTTCTCCGTCACCTTCCACATCGATGACACTTTTGGGCGAATCCACACATTCGGGCACTTCCCACGTTTTATTAAAGTCGCTATTGTAATCACTCTCCTGGTATGAAGAGGAGCTAGTTGAATCTTGTACTTCATTTGAAACACCAGCCTGGTTATTATTCATTTCGTTGTTTCTGAGCGACTCTCTATGTGCTAGAACATTTTGGGACGTGCTATTGTTAAATTGGAAATTATCGAAGAAGTCTCTTGTGTGTGTAGATGCTGGAACTCCAATTTTATTGGCTAGCTCTCTTATAGGTACAGTGTTAAAATTGCGTAATACATTTTTGCAAGTCTGTAACTCTTTAAGCTTTTTATTTAGGATGAATATTTTGTCGATTTTGTCTGTCTTCACGTGGACGTTCAGAGAATTCAGCAGGCTATTCACATTTAGTTTGATTCTGTTCATGTGTTTTTTTTTTTTTTTTTTTAAAGAGTATTTCAAATTGTGTAGCTTATCTCTCTGGTTCACGTTGTTGCTGTGCGCGACGCTGAAGGGAAGGAAGGAGCGCTCTCTCGCGAGGTGCACGGAGCTGTCATTCTGACCGTTGTTATCGTTGTGACCGTTGTTGTTGCCACCGTAATCGTTATTGTTGGCGCTGAGATTGCTGTGGCCGCCTCCCTCGTTCTGGTTACTCCCCTGGTTGCCATTCACTCGGTGGCTATGCACGGGGCTATTCTCGAAGTGACTGATGGGAGGACTCTCCTCCATACTTGTCGACACATTCCGACTTACATTGTACGAGTTAGCTCTAGCCACGTCTCGGGAGTTACCAACTCCACTGTTTAGAGGTAACACATTCAAGTGGTTGCCATAATTTCTATAAATAACATTTCCTGTGTTTCTTTCGGGGGTCCTATTTTGATTGTAACTGAAGCGGTTCCCCGAGTTGCTGCCTTGATGCTGCATGCGGCTCGAAGGGTTAAGCAAGCTTCGGTAATTTAAATTAGTACTTGTCCTTAGCTCATTAGTGCGTATGTGCCAGTAGCTATTAAATTCCCGTATCCTCCTGTTCAGCATGGTGACCTCGGATGGTTCGTTGAAGGTGTCAGTGTTAAACCGCATGTTGTTACTTCCAATGTGTCTGTTAATGTGGTTTTGGTTGTTATCAAATCGTGTGTAGTGATACGAAGCAGCGTTTCTCAAATGGACATTTTGAATGTCATTTTCGGAGTTGTCTCTTATTAGGACGTTGCTGTTTCTATGGGGAATGTTCACCATGGGCGCCCCATTTGGGTATCCAGTTCCGTGGGCGTTGGTCCTTGGGGACTCAGCGGCAGGGTTATAGGCGCTGTGGGATACAACGGGATGGGATCCACTAACCCCGTTGTTCCCATTTATCATGCCGGTCGCTTGATTCGTCAGATTCATATCTCCTCGATTTGCCTCATTGTTCGGTCCCTCATTCACAGGAAATCCATTTTCATTCAACGAATTGGCGTAGTTGTAAAATGTGGCACTGGGGCGGCGGTTGGAGCCATCCACGGGATCCCTACTATAAGCGCGAGATGGTACATTAAGGGAAAAACTATTGGTTGCAGGGATGGAAATATTGCTAAGGCGACTTTGGTTCTGTCTGTACTCAAATAAATATACATACAAATCATATTTTATGTTAAAATTGATATCCGGTTTGTAATGAATGGAGTTGATAATATCGAAAAAATTAATTTCGCTAATGTTGAACATGCAGATATATTTCATTTTGTAAAATTTTTCTAGGGTATAATAAAGGTGCATTAAATCTAAAACCTTGTCAATATTTCCGTTAATTTTGGTGTCGATAAGTATTTTCTTCTCTTCTAATTTGTCTAAATTAACCAGTTTGATGATTTTTTTTAAATGTTTATTTACATTCTTCCTGTTATACTTGTGTTTGTGAATATATGCGCTTTCCAAACTGTCTGAGGAGTTTTCCAGGTCTATCAAATCGATTAGGTCCCTACTTTGTGCACGTCCTTCTACCTCTTCTTCCTCCTGTTCCTCCTCCTCCTCGACGTCGTCCTCCTTATCTTTCAACAGTTGTATTTTTCGTTTCTTGTAATATTTGGAGAAGTAATAATTGTGAAAATTATTGAGGTAGACGAGTACCGGATCTTTGTTGTGTGGAAAATAACACGAGGAGATATTTCGATCCATTTTAAATGTATCGAAGAAAAAGCAGCAGTCTTTCAATATTTTGTATTCACTTAGGTAGCTCTTTTGGACAATTAGGTTCTTTTTATCGTAGCTGTTGTGCGCTTGGTCTTCTCTCTGGCCCTTCTTCCGTTTCTCCTCATTGTGCGTGTCGTTTTTGTCCTTACCACACGCGCCCTTTTCATAGCAATGGAGAGGACCATCGCGCAGAAGTGTGCTGTGGAAACTCCTATTTAAAATGTCTAAAACTTGATAAAAATTTTTCTTCACTTTTGTATTTGTGGAGTCGAAGCATTTGTTGAAATAGAGGTCCTCCCTGTTTATGCTGATGTAAAAATTGTCATTCTTAAAGTTGAACGTGTGGTAGCAGTCGAAGAGTTTTATCATTTCCATGGGCAGGCGATCGTTACTCAGAAGGAGTGCAGTTTTCGAGCATTTCTGTGATTCTTCCTTTTCGTCTCTCGCCTTGTGCCCCTCCAAAAACAGCGCGTCTCTGAGGACATGATGTCTTCCCCCCGAACCACTGCGCAATACATGGATATCACTGTTGGCACTGTTAGTACTGTTAATACTGTTAATACTGTGCATGCGGATATGCAAAAAATAGGAGTACCTGTTCAGAGCATATAAATTTTCGTAAAAGACGGACTTGAGTAGTATATTAACGAGATTCATGTCATCTAGGTTTAGTGAATCGAAATGTTTTATGTTGGACGTGTGCAAGTGAATTTGCCTTTGGAAAAATTGGAGGTGATTACTGCTTTGCTGCCTCTCCTTCGAGTGTTGTGAGAATGCGCAACTGGACGTGGCACTACTGCTGTGAGATGTCGCAAAGGAATTTCCATTACGGGGTGCTTTTTTGCCCTGTTTGGTTGGAATAACTGCTCTTTTACGATGATTGGGTTGCCTCTTGCGTGTGCAGTACCTTCCACATGTTGCTTCCTTTTTGGAGACTTCACCACGGGGAGAATTATGTGCACAGCTGTTTCTTCGTCCTTGAGACCCCTTCTCCTCTGGGCATTCCATAAAATGTACTGGGAAGGTGGGCACATAAATTACGTCCAACTCGTTCTTAACAACATTCCTGATAAAATTATTTTTGATTATTTTTTTTTTCAAATTTTGTCCATAGAGTAGACTCAAATGGGAGGCAATTAGCAAATTCTTTAGCGGAAAATATAGAGGGGAGAAATAGTACAGGAATTTCATTTTGTTGTCAAGAAGGATGAACGATTTGAAGGACTGGAAGTTTTCATAGCAGTCTGTTATGTGACTTTCGTTTGTGATTATACGAGTCAATCTACTTTGTTTATACTTCCCTTTCTTAATATTCTTGTTCCTGCTTGTTCTCCTCCTGTCCTGGTCCTCCATGATTACACTGAAAAGTTGTTCCACCTCCCTCAAGTAATATTCATAATTGAGTTTCAGCTTCTTTGTGTGATTCTCATTATGTTGAAGACAGAAGGTAGCATTCAAAAAATGGTTCAAGTGGCTATGCCCTTCCTCCGCATGACTGCAATTGGCAATTTGGCTGAGGAGTTCCAATGTGTTTGGGATGCTACTCAGTCTGGTGAATTTTCCCTTTAGGTAATTGTTTAAAAATGTATATTTGTCAAATTTGTCGCGTGGCCTTAACTCTATGACTCTGTTTTTACTAACGGGGGAATGGATTGTGTATGTCTTTCCACAAATGGGGTCCCTTCTTTGCTCCATTTTGAGACAGAATCTATCCCTTTTGCTTACACTTAGTGATAACCCCTGACGTGCTACATTATATGTACACCGTTTTAGTAATTCTTCCTTGTAGTACCTTCTGCATACATGATGATAAAAAGGGAGCAGGGTTCTTTTCCTGCATGAACTCAGTTTGTTCAAGTAATGAAACATAAAATTGTACAGCTTGAGCGTGTATGACAGGATAAGAATTAAAAATATGATATCGTCTTTGATTTTTTGTTCCACCAACTCGCTCATGCTGATTTCGTCACAGTAGGAATGTAGGTAGGCTAACAGGAGATACTTGTTGCGGTAAATATGCTTATACTTATCGTGCAGGTAGGTAATAAAATTGTTGATGACGGTGTAATAGCTGTTCGTGGTGTTATCAGGGGGGAGGTCCACGTCTTTATCCATTTTGCCACCACGCGGGAGGAAGCTTTTGTGTGTGATTTTCCTTACCCTATCGTCACTATCATAGGAATTAGAAGAAGATTCATGGTCCTCCTCACTGTTTGAACTTTCCTCCGCTTGTTCAAACCTAAAGCAGTTAAATTTCGATTCGATATACTCCTCCGTGGGTATGAGGTTCTTCCCTTTTTTAAGGTACAAATATTTTTCCATTCTTCTGTACATTTTTAAGTCTTCTACGCAGATAAGCATAAAGAGGTAAACAAATCGGCTGAACTCGATGTGGGACAGATTGTCCACTTCGAAGAAATTTCTGTTGAAAATTTCGTACTTTTCCGTTTGGTTCTTTACCCAAGTCTTGTTCGCGATTGGGGGGTCGCTAAATTGTTGACTCGGGTGGGGGGGACATTTCTGTGTCTGCATGTGTCCGCTCTGCAGATGGGTACTCCACGTGTTTACACTTCGCCCGTTTTCACTTAACCCGTTTGTGCTTTTCTCGTTTTCCTTTTGCGCGTTGACGCTGTTGGGGGACGGCGCCCACCAGTGAGAGTACCCCAAATCGTGTTGACCCAAAAAGTATATGTCAATGTTAATAAAGTGGAAAATGCCCTTGTTCTGCTGCCCCCTCCTGCACTCATAAATGAAGAGGGTGAGAAACTGAGTGGCAATCTTTTTGCAGATATAGTTGTAGAAAAAGTACAGGACAAATTTGAGTGTGGGGTTTTTGGGTAGAATGTCGATGTGGACTCTGTAGGATTTCAAGCGGAGCTTCTTCTTGTTGTCATAGTCGATCGTATCAACAGTGACATGACAGAGGTCTGAGTTGTGTAAATTATATATTTGCGCTGTGCTGTTGTACAGGTATATGCTAGAGAGGTACACATCGTCAGAGAGTAGGTAGAGCATTCCGTCTTTGTTGAGGATGATGATGAAGTGATTCATTTTGTTAACATCTAGGACGAGTTTATTTAATTGTGTGTTCTTGTTTGGATCTTTTTTCTTCGTCTCTGCATCTGTCCATTTTAGTATGTCCCTCTTTTGCTTTAGCAGCTTTTTAAAATAGAGCATCCTCTTTTCCCCAGTAGAAACGTTAACAATAGTATGTTCGTAATTTCGCTCCCTTGGCTTGCACTCCAAATGGGTAGTGTTCATTTGGTTGTTGAGGAAGGCACACAAGTTGTAGGGGTAGTACTTGAGCGTGGAGAACTCCCTTGTCATATTAACGGTGGTGAAATTTAAAACATTGGGGATAACCTTAATTTTATCCTTGACGTATTTGTGATATATTGGGATAAGAAATAGCAAATTGTTTGCATTATCGTAGACACACAATTTAATTCTACTTTGGATGCTTTTATTTCCTCCCGTGGTGATAACAAGTTGTGGTTTGTAAGCTTGTGTGTTAAAATTGATATTTCTGAATGTTTCTTTTTTGTAACAGAACTGTTTTTTTTCGATGCTTAGGAAGTGCTGGAAAGGGAGGAACTTTTCCATTTTTTCCGCTTTGAAATAATTCTTCAGATATTTTTTGTTGTATTTTACCACATTGTAGAGGATATAAAAGAAGAAGTAGGTCTCCGTGTTTTCCTCGAAAGCGATGCAGATGTTCACGTTGGAGTTTATGTGTATGATATTCATGTTCGGGATTTGGTTTAGCCTTGTTTCGCAAGGCTCCTCCAGAGCAGAGGAGGAGGAAGCATCAGATGAGGTGGAAAAAGTGGAGGAATCGGTTGGGAATGGCACCGTTTCGGTAGGGGACGATCCATGGCACAATGGGTCAGTCCACATAAAAACCTTCTCCTCACGGTAAAAATATTTACACTTGCGGAAAAAGAGAGAGTCGTTCCCGCCTCCAACTGTGTTGGAGTAGAACGGGTGAACAGCGGACAAGTAGAGTACTCTAATTTTTTCCTTCACGTTGTTCTTGTAGATGGAGTACGTGAAGTACTTTTGTCCGTTGGTAGAGCTCAACAAATTTACAAAAAACAAATGATCATTGTGGTCAAATACTCGGAGGGGGGTATACCCAAGGGAGAATTCTGTCTTCCTTGTTCTGCTTAAAATGTCTATTATTTGGACATTTATTTTATTTTCGAAATTTCGCTCAAACGTGTAGATGTATTTGTTCTTGTGGGGGAGCAGGGCGTCCTGCTCAATTGATCCCTCATTGGTTAGGGAAGTACGTCGAAAAACACTCTTGTCATCTGATATAAGGTAAAAGAAGGTACCGTTGGAAACCTTGAATGATTTCCTAATTCCATCGTAATAATGAAATGTCATTAACCTGTTTTCCTTGCAGTAAGTCACCTTGTATTCATATAAGGCGCCATTCACTATGTTGGAATAGAATTTGGTCCTTTTGACGTTCCTATTGTAAATATTATTAACGAAAATTTTTTCTTTAAAATTTGTTTTTCTGATTGTATCACCTTTTTGTTTCCTCTTTCGCTCAAAATTATATACTTTTGGGAAATACTTTCTCAAATAAATATCTTCCTTTTTTAACAATATTAGTAATTTTAAAATGTGTTCCTTGATATTTCCCTTTTCGTTTTTTTTTTCTTCACATATCCATTTTATGTACGTCAAAATGTGTCCGTTCTGTTTTGAGTCATTTTTGCATTCTTCAATGCTATAAAAATTGTCTATATATGTTTCGACATTTTTATTGGGTGTACTGTCTTGTTTATTTCGTTCGTCTTTTTTTTTTTCTTTTTTTTTAACGTCAAAATAGTTTAATATGGAATACTGATTGTTCTTGTAACAGTAACTGGAATTAGCGGCCCCTTTTTTGCATAGACTGGTACTTTTCTTTTTTTCGCTTTTTTGTTTTTGTCCCAATATGGGTTGTTTGCTTTTGCTAACTTTCTTCTTTGACTCGCCATGTTTTATAATAATAGCGTACACCATTTTAGGGTAACTGCGCCGTGTGCCTTTTCTTTTTTTTTTTTTTTTTGCCTTCCAGCTCGGCACAGTGGGCTGATTAAGCAAAACGAGGGGGAGTGTACGCAGGGTTCTACTTGCACGTCTTGTGCAGGTACATGTCACCCTATTCCCCGTTGCAAATTCCTTCTCGTGGATCAAATCTTGCCTTGGGTAAAGGCAAAGATTTCGTGCCTGTAAGAAGGGGAAGCTATTTATAGGACAAATGAGCTGAAGTAAAAACCGTTATAACGGAACGGGAGGGGGGGAGTATAGGAAAAAAGGAAATTGACAATTTTAACAACAAAAGGGAGGTCACCATATGCGTATGCATATGCATGATGGTACACGATGGGTGTACGTCTAATGAGGACAGTGTCTTAACAACCAAAGACGTGCGTATTTAAAAAAACGTGGGGGGGGGATTTCATACAAGCAGGGAAACAATGGCCATTTCGTTGCATCGGCTAGGTGTGCCGCATGCTGTGCCAATGGATGTGTCACCTGATATGTCATTTCACTTGTGACAATTTATACGCCCCCTCTTTTGACATTCTGCTGGGGCCATTATTAAGATAAAAAAAAAAAAAAAAAAAAAGTCACGCAATTGACAAAGAAGTCGAAAATGTCAACGAAAGAGAACCAACTTATGCTCTTAAAAATTAATGGGAAAAAATGCCAAGTGCAATTTGGAAGGTAAGAAATATGTGGGGGAAATTAAAGGGAGAATAACATGGAAAAGATGGCAAGAAGAAAGGATAAGGTGATAGGTTTTGTGCAAAAGGCTTACCAACAAAAAAAAAAAAAAATACTCAAAAAAACGAGCAAAATACGTAAGGGGGGAAAAAAAAAAAAAATTGCGTAAATGGTTCCAGAGAAATAGCGCAATAAGCCAATGGTATACTTCGATGCGTTAGGAGTTAACAAAATTGTTTACACTCCTTGGGTATCTTAAATAAAGGAAAAGTGCATTTTTAGTTAAAAAGTGGGGAAAAAAAAAAAATTCTATTCCTTGGAAACGAGGGGGGGCATATTGAGAATGATATTGCCCGCCTCGATTTGCAAGAAACGATTAGTCTTTTCTTTTCTTTTTTTTTTTTTTTTTTTTTTAAGCATATTCCCTGTTGCACTTTTTTACCGTATTTAAGAATCGAAAGTGCAAGTGCACCCGTAATTGTAAAGGCAATTGTGTAAAAATAGACCTGGTACGTTTCGCCCGCACTCACGAGAACAAAGGTGTAGCG